AAGAGAAAGGAAGGGACAAGATCATGAAGGCTTCCTAAGAAACCAGAACCTGATTTTGGTGGCAACTGAGAACCTGGAGCAGCTTTGTGCTGGGTGCACCAAAAGGCTATCCAGAGGCAATACCACAACCAAAGGACTTGTATGCATGCATATAAGCATAACCAATGACACAAAACACTGGAGGGGGGTGAGGGCATGTATGGGAGTGGGGTGGGGGTGGGGGCAATGGTAAGATATGTACACATATAATATTTTAACAAAAAAATTAAATTTAAAAATAAACTTAAAAAAAAGACCATTCACACGATCATTTTCATATGTAGGTAAGAAATAAATTAAGGCCCAAACTAAGGATGAGGCATTAGATCCCAACATAGGGAGGAAATTAATTTAAGGTGTAATTATGAGAAAAAAAGCAACTGATGATATTATTTAATATCTGCCACAGAAGTAGTTTAGCAATTATGCTGTACAGGATAATGTGAAGAAAACTGGATGTACAATAGAGCTATGCAACATGTACCCCAGGCCAACATTGCTTCCCATTTAAACGTATGTTCACCTTAGCCCCTTCCTCTATCCATGCTCCTCCATTCCAAGTCCCTTCCATGACAGGCTCCTAAAAACTCCTCATGCACCCTCTGATAGTGATGTCAGATCCCTGAAACTAATTCCAAATAAAATCATCAGAGTGTGTGTGTGTGTGTGTGTGTGTGTGTGTATAAATCTTTATTGTTGAAAATATTAAATATGTCCTCCTTCTCCCCCCATAGTTTAGTTCAACTGTAACTGTGACATCCCACTTTGTCTTTTTAGCTACATGTCCCCCCATACACTTGCCCAGGAAACAGTCTCATAATTAATCAGCACTCTTTTTTCCTAAGTGGGCCCAGAAATAGTCACCTTGTTCAAGGTTAGTAGAGTACCTAGAATAGAATCTCTACTATTTCATTAGATTTTTCTCTATTTTAAAAATCCATCTATTACTTGTTTTTATGTTCATCAACATAAAAGGTAGAGAAGTTAACAAAGGATTGGTTACCTATCAGGTTTTTTTGGAGAACATAGAAGCTTCTCTGCCTGAAAGCTGTTCACAGAAAGTGGATCTCAGAGTTGCAGGGAAATTTAAAATTCAAGGCCCGCCCCTCCACTGATGCCTGGATTCCTTCTACAACAGTTCTACCACGTGGCTGCCCCGTGCAGATCTGACTGCTCCCCTGAGAGGGAACACACTACTCTCCATGACAGCACTGGCTGGAAAGTAAAACTATTTTTAGCAGATATGCAAAAACTAGTGGTTGAAAGTGTGGTTAAGGAATTGGATTTTTAAAATACAATTTCAAATTCTCTCTCCACAGTTATGTATCCATCACAAAGAAGAAAACTGCAGTGTGAAAAACCTGGTGAACCGGGTGACCAGAGCTAACACCACCAGCGATGGAGCAAGCTGGCAGAGTGTGCTCTGAGAAGAACAGCACTTCTGTGGTGTTTACAGCCAGAGACGTTCCTGAATCGAATCAAGAGGAACCCTCAGACAATTCAAAATGAAGGACTTTCTACAAAGTAACTGGCCTGTATGTTTCCAAAGTGTCAAGGTCAAGAAACAAACAAAGGCCACAGTTTAAGATGGGACTAAAGGGACATCAACTACTCTGTTTCCCCGAAAATAAGACAGTGTCTTATATTAATTTTTGCTCCCAAAGATGCGCTAGGTCTTATTTTCAGGGGATGTCTTATTTTTCCATGAAGAAGAATACGATACACATTTATTGTTTAATGAAAATAAAGGAAATTTATTACATGTATATGGTATGGTAGTACGGTAGTTGTCAACACAAACCAGACAAACTGTGAATCCTACAGTATCAAGAATTTACTCATTTATTCAATGACAATCATGTCATCATCTTCTGGAACATCCTCATAACAATCCAATTCCTGAATTTCCTGGTGAATTTCTTGTGACTCCATTTCTTTTAGAATCAGTGGACCAAATCTCTCATGTTTAGCCTAGGGGGGGGTTATTTTCGGGGGGATGCCTTATAGTTCACTCAGAAGGAAACCTGTAAGTAGGTCTTATTTTCGGGGAAACACAGTAGTTGCATGCCTGATCCTAAATTGGGTTAAAAAAAAAAAAAAAAAAAAAAAAAAAGAGCTATAAAGATTGGGATAACTGACAAAATGTGAGTCCTGTGGTAAAGTAATATTATTGCATCAGTGTTAAGTTTCCCGACTTTGACCATGTTATGTAAAGAATGTCCTTGTTCTTAGAAAATATACATTGATATATTTAAGGTTAAAGGGATGTGATGCTTGCAATTCCCTTCCAAACAGTTCAAAGAGGAAAAAGTGTGGTCACGTGAGAGTGGGGAGAAAGAAGGAGAGAATAAATAATAAAGTAAGTAAATGGAACAAACCAGTAACAACTCATGAATCTGGGTAAAGAATATATGAGAATTCTTTTTACTATACTTACAATTTTTCTTTGTTTGAAATAGTCAAAATTAAGTTTACCAGCCCCCTCACATAAGCTTTATGTAAGAATACTGAAAAATGTGTAAGCCCGGTTTCCTTGAAGAATTCAGGTGCACACTCATTGAAACAGACACATTTCTGATAAAAATGTCTCAAGTGAACTTTTTCTGAATTATCTATACCACATCCAGGTTATTATGTACTAAATGCCCTTAATTATTTCACATGAATTTTCCTCTCTTCATCTCTGTTTCTGCATCTATCCACGCCTAAAAAAGCACTCTCCATATTAGAATAACCCCTAGGCAACAATGCTGGACAGCTGGGGTGGCCCAGGCAGTAAGGCATACATGCTTTACCCAGCACCCAACTAACAACTTTAACCACGACATTCCTATGTTTTAGTGCATGAATTTGTATGTGTATACTGTTTCTATAAAGTATGCATGGGTATATATAATAAGAAGAAGAATATATGCTTATTTTTATAATCATTTTTATTTATACTTACTCACTTTGTAAGGAATATTGGTTCACTGGTGCCATCGTGGGAGAGGGAAGGGAAAATAATGCGGCATTGTCAAATCAAAATTTTTTAAACATAAGTGTTTTTGACCTAATAATTTCTTTATGAAAATTTATTATTCAGAAATAACGCCACAAATGCACAAAAATTTCTGAACAAAGATGTTCTTAATGTGTACACATACACACATATATACACATACACACACACCATACACACACACACATTTTTCCTATGTTTCTATAGTCATCAATAACAAAGGTAGAAACAGCAACTACCAGTTGTTTCCATCGTCCTGTTACCATGGATTCTGCCTGCCAAATGAAGTGAAGAAAACTATTTGTAGGAGTGAAAGGAAGCACTGTTTGAAATAGTAAAATGCTATTAAAAATCCATGTGTCAATGAGGCACTTAAATAACTATAAATCATACTTCCTTACAATATCATATTACAAAGCCGCAAAAGAGAATGAGTTAAATCTATAAGTAGAGAAATGGAAAAATGCCAAGATATAGTATTAGGTAGGGGGGAAATACTGTACAACACATGTGTCATAAAATCCCCTTTTTGTTTAAAAAGAAGGGGGGGGAAATGAGCCTTGAAGTATACCAAACTATAAACAATTATTACTTTTGGGTACAGATCTACAAAGTTTTTAAAAGTTCTTAAAACAATTCTATAATATTTGAATTTTCCAAAAACCACTATTTCTTTACAAGTAGAAATAAAAATCTATATTAAAGTGGTCAAATTTAAAAGACTTTGCAAAAATACAGAACAGCCACTACTTTACAATACTTTAAAAAACAAAACAAAAAAAAACACTCCAGCCGACTGGCATGGCTCAACTGTTGAGCATTGGCCTATGAACCAGGAGGTCAGGGTTTGATTCCCAGTCAGTGCACATGTCCAGATTTCAGCTCGATCCCCAGTGAGGAAGCAGCCAATCAATGATTCTCTCTCATTGATCTCTCCTTCTCTCTCCCTCTCTCCCTCCCTCCCCTTCTACCCCATACCTTCTTTCTCTTTCTCCCTATCCTTACTCTCTGAAATCAATAAAAAATACATTTAAAAAAAACACACACACTCTGACAATAGGTATTCTTATTTGTTTTTTAGTAGCAAAATTATTTTTATTTCCCTAATAAAATCCTACTCAGAAGCCTATTTATAAAGATGAACGGAGGAGGTGGGCTCCACACTGAGCCTCCCATTCTTTGACTTTTGAGAAAATTTGTATTCAAGGATCTGAGGAAATGTAAAGAATTCAGCATATAAAGCAAGATGTGCCCTTATGGTTAAGGGAGCTTAGCCACAGCACACATGGGTGCCTGAATCAGCTGCACCTCACTTTCACCATTTCTCCATAGATGGGAGAACTATATCCATTACATCAAACATGTCAAAAACACCGAACCCACCAATTCTCCCACCCCCACTCATCCTGCTTCACCATCACAGCATAGTCATTAGCAGTTGCAAATGCCCCTTCAAACTAGACCTTCATCCCAGCTTGAAAAGCCTGAAGGGATGTAAGTGTTCTATCATAAGCTAGACCAGTGGTCGGCAAACTCATTAGTCAACAGACCCAAATATCAACAGAACAACAATTGAAATTTCTTTTGAGAGCCAAAAAACGACTTCTGCACACGGACCACGAAGTTTCAATCGCACTGTATGTGCGTGCCCGCACGAGGTATTTTGTGGAAGAGCCACACTCAAGGGGCCGAAGAGCCACATGTGGCTCGTGAGCTGTGGTTGGCAGACCACTGAGCTAGGCACATAAATAATGGCTATCTCATTTTAAAAGACTTAAGGAAGCCTAGAGGAATAGGCTAAAGATTTAAAATAAAAATCTGAAAGGACCTAGTGCTGCTACAGCCTTCCATCCACTGACCCTCTGTGCAGATGGCAGCCCACCCCTCAGATGCAGCCCTTGCCTCAGCCTCTGGGCCTACGCGGGGCTAGGTTGGCATCTTCGGTTGACCACACTCTTACCTTGGACTTTGCATGCCAAGTGAAGTGCAGGAAATTGGTCTCACTGGGAACTAATAGGTTAAAGGACAGAGCGTAGTGACTAACAAGGTCATTTCTCACATAATAAAGTTCTGCATCGAGACCTAGAAAAAAAAAATAAAGAGAAAATAATTAAACTCCTAAAATACTCTCAAAATATTTAACCATCAGTATTTCAAGTACAAATAACAGTGAAGATAAAACTGATGTACAAACGCACATCGCAAACACCTCCCATTGTGCTGCCTTATAAAGCAGGAAGGACCCTGGGCTTCATCAACACCCACAAAGGTGAAAAAACTGGGGTTCCAAACAATTAAGTGGTTATCTGGCTGAACACAGGGTGTTGGGATCAGAACTCTAGTAACCATCCTGTCTTCCGAGGGCCAACATGATCCTCTTCCTTTTGGACTCAATGTTTCTCAGAGTAACACCCACAAACAACAGCCCTTTCCCCCCCCCCCCCCCCCCAAACTGATGTGGATTTAGGAAGAGAGAGTCACATGGAAGGAAGAAAGGCACCTGGGTGAGAACACTCAGTGTGGGCCAAGGCCTCAAGACCCCAGCCAGAGGGGACCTCAGCCAGCTGCTGCTCCACAGGTATGACGCCTGGCGGCTCTGGCAGCACTGACCACAGCACACTCACAACAGTTGTTGCACAAACATACATCCTCCCCCTACCTGGACTATAAGGTGGAGCAAACCATGTTTCTCCTTGTATTCTCTCACAGTTTTCTGCACAAAGTAGATGTTCAACAAATACTTGTGAAACAACAAGTTAGTACTGCAGATAAAGGAGAAATAATTGGGACTCCTGAGAAATGCTGGGGGGAGTCACTCAAATTTCACTCATTCCCACACCACATTCTTAACCAGGGCCACATCCAACTTCCAACACTGTCATACTCCAATTCTGTCATACTCCTTCATCCTTCATGCATTTAATATTTTTCTTTAAAATTGACTCAATTTTTAAAAGAAAAAAATTTAAGGCCTAAGTTTATCACTTTCTTGAATAAAAAAAATCAGTAATAACTGAAAAAATACAAGGTAACCCCAAAAAAATCAATTTAAAAAATAAAACAACATTACTAATTTCTAGCTAAATACTAGAAGTGAGCTTGAGACCTTACAAAAAGGGTGTGTGTGGGGGGGGGGGGGAAGGGTAGAGGATTAACAAGTGTTTAAGAGAGGTAAAGAATCAAATAGAGACTTTTCCATGATAATCCAAAATAACTGAAAGAATAAGAGCAGGGAGTAAATTCCAGTTGATTTATTGTTATTTAAAGTTATGTTCAGGTGACCCCTCTAGTAATGCATGACATATGTTATTTCACGCATTGGAGGGAAAAGATACAGGTAAACCAAATGAAATGTAAACTTCATATGTACTGAGCCTATTCATGGGTCTCACACCTATTTATCAAATACCATGATAAAGAAATTAACCATAAGATAAAATAAAGACAAATACAGTTCCTCATGTTGTGGTGACCCCAACCATAAAATTGTTTGCATTGCTACTTCATAATTGTAATTTTGCTACTGTTAATGAATCGTAATATAAATATCTATGTTTTCCGATAGTCTTTAGGCGACCCTGCTAGCGGTTATCAACCTGTGGGTCTACAATACAAATGTCCATGCTGGATAACCAATTTTGGTATATTTGCACAATGAAATACTATTCTTCTAAGAAAATTAACTATTGAGGATTTGTAACAAAAGGAGTAAATCTCAAAGTCTCTATGAGTGAAGAAAGAAGCTATACACAAGAGTACATACTATATAATTCTATTTATATAAAGTTCTAGAACAGGCAAAAGTAATTTATCCTGATAGAAGTCGGAGAAGTGTGACTACCTGGGAAGCGGGGTGGGAGGAAGACTGGTGAACTGATTGCAAAGGGGCACCAGGGAACTTTCTGGGATGGTGGAAATGCTCTATTTCTAGTTGGGGCAGTGTATGCATTTTCCAAAACTCAAACAACTACATGATACTAAATCTGAGCATTTCATTACATGTAAAGTTTACCAAAAATTTTTTAAAGTGGAGGGGGGAAAAGAGTCAACAGTTGATTTTTACCTCTTTGTTCTAATCTTAAAAAGCTTACATACCACAGAATGTTACTAGCACTAACATAAAAGTCTTAGAAAAACTAATTAACCATACATAATCAGCAACTTCCGAATTTACACTTAAAACATCTTTTACAGGGAAAAGGAACTCTGGTCCTAATAAATAGCAGTTATAGTTGTTACTGGTAATAATAACAACAGTGTGTAAATATTTAAGTTTCCCAGACACAGTTCAAAGTATCAAGAACATATAGGAGTTCTGTAAATCCAACTGCCTTAAAAAGAGCTGTAAGTAGAAAAGAAATAAAGAACAAAAGGAGAACACATCCTCAAGCCATTCACTCAGTCATTTAATAATTTGTGGTTTCTGTCCTACTTGAAATTCTCTAAATTTTTACTCTCGTGAAACTGAGGGATACAGCCAATTTCCTTTCCAACATCCTGGGGACATCTGTTCTCCCACATTGCTCAAGGTCTCTCCTGTTCCACCAACTCAAATTCTGGATAGAAATCATGGTTCCTAACTCGTAAACATTCTTTGGAACACCTCTGAGCAACTTCACACCATTCTAGTTGACGCTGGGCAAAGACTGGAGTCTGTAACTTCCTTAACCTTCTAAAACCTATCTGGATTTCAACTTTTGCTGGCATGCTTACTACATGGTCATCCATCCATGATCCCTTCTTGTCAACAACCCTTCTGTATACGGTCCTCCCCGAATGCCACTGTGACTTCCACAGTCACCTCACCTTCTTGAAGCATCACTGGCTCTGTAGAGACCGAATGACCCATTCTCCTACCCTCAGTGGGCCCTGTCCCGGATCCCTACGACCTCCTCAGATGATTATTTGAGCACCCTTATTAAAAGTCCATTAGGCACATCCCATTAAACTATGCCACCTTCTATCCTCCCATTATCTAGCTACCTCGTTCACTAAGGCATCTGGAACCAATTTATAAGGTTTCTACATGACCTTCTCCTATGACTTATTATGACAGACTCCAATGTCCCTGAGACCAACTCACCCTCAACCTGTCCTTCAATGGTCCTTTTATTCTTCAATTCCCAATAACTTTTATCCAAACCAAAGCAATCCATTTCTATGAACGGTAACAATATGTAAATTGCTCCACCTCCAAAATCTCCGGCTGTATATCTCAACAGCTAGTAGCTCTTTAGCTCCTTCCCTTTATTATTGTGACAATAGCTGTTCTCTAGGCTCATTTCTCAAGTGACTATAATCCTCTTGTTTCTCCCATTCTATTATACCAATAATTTATCATTTTCTTCTTACCGGCCTCTATACCAATTACTTCAGTTACTTACCAGTACTTTCAACTTTTCCCCACCAACCTATGTCAGATAAGCATATGCCACCATAAAAGCACCCAATTTTGAACTGACTTGATTCCCCTACTCCGTGTTTTCTCTGGTGGTATACTAGTAATTGAATGCTGCATAATCCTGGATAATGCTATTCCCACAAATGAGAGTCACTACAAAACCATAACTACTATCCTCAACAAATAAATTAATATTCATAAGTTGCTGAAAGTTTGGAGCCTTGTGACCCATCAAAATATATTGAAAATTTGAAATTCATTGCAATTGAGGTAGTGAAATTGTAATGCAATCGCTAAACAAGCTGCTGTTTTCTGACTACAGATTTTGAGGACACTGTTTTGAAATAAACATTCTTTATTAACTAAGGTAATTAACTCCTAGTTGGAAAGGGTTTGTATTTTTCAAAGAAACCATTAAAATGAGATGCAAAGTTTTGCCCATCAAATGAGCAAATACAGTCTGTTCTGTCATAAGACAGTTCCTATAAACACCAATTAGCTTATAAGTGTTTAGTAAATAACAATTGCCCATATAACATGGAAATTGTGTGGGTTACCATTTGAATTTTCCCAGGCAAGAGAAACTAGAAAAGCTGGTAAAGAATTACAATTTTCAGTGGGAAAGGAAAAGACCCTTACTCGGCTCAGATACTAGCAGGCAGGAGCCCCCCTCAGCCCTATTTTAAGAAAACTAAAAATGAGCACCTGAACTCAGAGCTCCCTCCTCAGAGGAGCACTGCTGGCCTGTGCTTGGATCCCAGATCCCAGCAAGCTGTACTTCCTCTGGTGCCATCTCTATGGCAGCCCCATCAGCTTAGAAAGGTACCCTCAGCTGCACTATTCCAAGGCGAGGCAAGCCAGCAATTTCCATCCTGTTATGTATTAATATCTTTAACTCTCCTTTGAGGCAGCTTCAGCCATTATAAGTGGCTTGACTGGGCTATCCAAGTTATCTCATAAAGTACCAATTATGCTTTTATTAGTACTTGTTTGAAAATTGCAGAGGTCTTGAGTGGTTTACCCATAACCTTATTTTTCCCATAAAGCTTGTTATTTTTAATGAATCAGTAATCTTAAAGGTGTGTATTTTTTTAAGGAATGTAAACTATATTTAACAGAAACACTATATTCTTTAAATATAATATTAAATGTTAGGCAGGATATGGTAAGAAAGCAATTTGTGAATCTTTATCACAGTTTTATAAATATTTATACTCTTTGATCCAGTAATTCCATGTCTAACAATCAATCCTAATGAAATCAAATATAGATACAAATTTTTATGTAAAAAGATATTAACCAAAGAAACATTTAAAAATGAAGAAAAGAAAGAATATATATGACTGGCATTAGAGCATTGATTAATAAACTATAATGCATTCATAACAGAGAACAATAGTTTTCTCAGTTTCTCGTCTTTGGAGAAGAGATGGTACCCCAAGCCACTACATCCCTTCAATCAAATCTCTCCCTGTTCATGTATGTGACATATTGAGCTTCCCTTGTAAAGACAGGCTTTAAGGACAAAAAATACTGAAAAAGACCAGGAAGCCATGAACGGCACTATTGTAATAAATTTTAATGAACTGGGTTTTGCTTAGAGTGCAATGTTAAATAAAAACAGGTAAGATACAAACTGCAAACAGCAAATTTTTAATAATGTCTGACCTAGAATAGTTCT